AGTTGTGGCGCATGGGCTTAGTTGCTCCGTGGCATGTGGGATCTTCCTGGACCAGGGCTCGAACCCGTGTCCCCTGCATTGGCAGGCAGATTCTTAACCACTGTGCCACCAGGGAAGCCCAGGTCTCTTTCTTATTAGTATACATTTTTATGGATATTCTATTTTCCTTGGTTAATGAGTTTACCTTGAAAAAGTAACCTACTATGAGGTTAGAAATGTTTATTAGTGCTTTGGGTGTGTAAGTAAGTCCACACGCCTGCCTCTGGCTGTTTATTTAGATCTGTTTTCAATCTCACACGTTCAAAATCAGAATTAAGAGACTTAGTCATAAAAGAACTAAGAAATCTGAACTTTTCATTGAGGCTTAATTACAGGTACCATTCACTTTGTAATGTAATAATTGTAATAATAGGTAACATTTATTGGGAACTTGCTAATCACATTACCTAGATTTTCTCAGTTAAACATCAAACCTACATGGTAAGTACTGTTATTATCCTTGTTTTACAAACAAGGACGTGATGATATTAATTCCGTCTGTGTCTGTAGTGATTCGTGGTCCGCAGCGCCCTGACCTCTGCTTGGGTGTCCCTGTGACTTGGCCTGGCAGGTGTTCCTGTCCTGTGGTGTGCAGAGACTGTTACATGGTTTGTGTAGCAGAGCCAGTGACCAGCAGCCGTCAGTCGGTTCACTAGGCTGACTTTCCATTTCTCGGCCTTCTTCGTAGCCACGGTCTTGTAGTGCAAGGCTCTTAGAGATCAAGTATCTGTGTACATCACTTTGGGAGTTCCATAATTGGAGTGTGCTGTAACAGCAAAACCACTCAGGTGATCTAGTCTGCGGAGGGACGCCTCCCGCACTGCGGGGGGGTTGGTGGCGGCAGCACAGGCGGGAAAGTGAGGGAGACGGCTCGGGTCAGGCTGCTGGCTGCACAGTGGCTGCTAAGGCCTCAGCCCTCCTGTGTCATCATTTGCTTATCGTTCTCTACGAAAACAGCAGTCTTGTGTGACGAGGAGTGAAAATGAAGAGGACAAATTGAGAACACGATCACTTAAAGCCTCTCCCAGGGATGAATGAAGCATATGGCGGCAGTAATGACGTTGGAAATGAATCCGAAGGTGAGATTAAGGAAGGTTACAGTTATAACAACATTCGGAGGGGATAAAGTACTTAAGGAACAAATTTAACAAAAGCACTGCAAAACGTATTCCCTAGAGACTACTGAGCATTTTTGCTGAAAGCAGTTTGAGAAGACGCAGGTCACTGGAAAGACCCCGTGTGCTGATGAGCTGGAAGACGAAGTGTTGCTGAGCCGGGCAGCGCTCCCGCACTGAACTACAGACCCAGCATCATCCCTACAAAATCCCGGGTTGCTTTTTTGCAGAAATTAACAAGCTGATGCTAAAATTCGTATGGAAATTCAAGAGACTGAGGATAGCTAAAACAGTCTGAAGGAAGCATACAGTTGGAAGACTCACACTTCTTGATTCGAACCCTTACCAGAGACCTATAGTAATCAAGAAGGTGTGGTACTGTCCTAAACATAGGTGTTTCAGTCATTGCAATAGGACTGAAAGTCAAAAATAAGCCCATGTGTCCGTGGTTAATTGCTTCTCGATGAAAGGTATAAGGCAACTCAAATAGGAGAAAGAATAACCTTTTCAGCAAACACATAGTGCCGGGACAGCCCTATATCCACATGCAAGTGAATGAAGTTGGGCCCTTTCATCTTAACCACGCACACAAATTAACTAAAATTGGGTCAAATACCTACAGGTAAGAACAAAATCGATACAATTCATTAAAAAATACAGGAGAAACTCTTCAAGACCTTCCTTGGGCTAGGCAAAGCCCTTTTGGATATGACACCAAAAGCTCATACAACCAAAAAAAAAAAAATAGGCAACTTGAACTTCATAATAACTAAAAAAAACTTGTGTGTGTCAAAGGACACCATCAAGAAAATGAAAATATAACCTATACAATGAGAGAAAATGTTTGTAAATCATATATCTGGTAAAGGACTTGGATCCAGAACGTATGAAGAACTCTTACAATTCAGTATTAAGAAGACAAGTAACACACTTTAAAAATTGGACAAAGAATCCAAGTAGACATCTCTCCAAAGAAGATATACCAGTGACCCATAAGTACGTGAGAATGTAGAGGGTTAAAGTCATGAGTCATCAGAGAAATGCAAATCAAAACCACAATGGGATACCACTTAGTACCCGTAAGGGTGACTGTCATCAAAAAGATGGAAGTATAACGACTGTTGGGAAGGGTGTGGGCAAATGAGAGCCAGTCCACGGCTGGCGGGGCTCTAACCTGCTGCATCTGCCATGAAGAGCAGTCTGGCAGTTCCTTAATAGGTTAATTGTAGAGCTGCCCTGTGACCCAGTGATTGCATCTGTAGGTGTCTACCCAAGAGAAATTAAAACATAACCCCCACACAGAAACTTGTGCATCCGTGTTCACTGCAGCAGTATTCACAATAGCCAGAAATGGAAACAACCCAAATGTCCATTTACTGATGAATGGATAAATGAAATGTGCTATATCCACATAATGGGATAGTATTCAACCATGAAGAAGGAAGGAGGGATTGATTCACCTAGCACAGATGAACCTGGAAAATGTTAGGCTAAGTGAAAGAAGCCAGTCACAAAAGACCACATATACAATTCCATGTATGTGAAGTGTTCAGAATAGGCAAATCTTCAGTGACGAAAAAATAAATGACTGCTTGCCCAGGGCCAGGGGGCTGGGGAAGGTGGGGCGGGATGATCGCTAAAGGGTACATGTTTCTTTTGGGGGTGATGAGAATGTTCTAAAATTGATTGTTGGGCTGGCTGCACAGTCTGTGGATGTACTAAAAGCCATGGAATTGTACACTTTAAATGGATGAATTGTATGGTATGTGAATTATATCTCAATCAAGCTGCTATAAATAAAAACATTAAAATTAACTTCTAAGAACTAGAAATTTCAAGTAACTGACTAGGTATCCAAGATCATTTTGGATCCAGAGAAGGAAGGCTCCATACCCCCTAGCATGCCATTCCAAGTGCTGGGAGGTGAGAGCCTGGGCTTTGCAGCCACACAGACCGAATTGGACAACTGGGTTAGAAGGGCCAGTTTGCACAGCTTCTCTGAATCTCAGCTTCATCATCTACGAAATGCGGGTAATAATTCTTAGCTCGTGGGTTGCTCATCCGAGGGGTGGGGTTGTGGTCACTGCGGCATCGTGTACAGGGCCCTGACTCTTTTCGTCCCTGCAGACCTGCCATGTCACTTCTGGCAGCAGGGACGGCCCTGTCCATCTCCCCCTCTCTGGGCTCCTTTAGCAGGGGGGCCTCCTCTTCACCCGCTGCTGCCTCTGCTCCGGGCTTGCTGCTTGCTGCTCACTTAGTGCTGGTTGGGGGAGTAAACAGCAGGCCGGAGGGGAGTGTTGGAACAACGTCAGTGCTTCCACCGCACCCGTAAGCGTCACTTTACTGGCAGATAGAGTACTCGGAGCTGGTTGGTGTTGGGAGCTTCATCTGATGATTTGGCATCACAAATGTATCGAGTAAATTTTGGCACGATGGTATAGCCCTGACATTAAAATACAAAGATGGGCATCAAGTCTAAATTTCATTATAAATTTAAATTAATAGAAAATAAAAAGTTGCTAGTTGGTAATAGATTGAGAAGGCTTGTGCCTGATAAATACTTCATTTTCAAAGGCTCTTTTTTCGAGGAGCGCTTGTGTTTTATAAGCTGCCCTGCAAATTTGAAACTGGACTTCCTCAAGTACTCTATCAACTGCTAAGAGAAACTGAAAATTTGGATTTCCATGGAAGTCTTATCGTCATTTTTAATGATAAGGCATTGAAATGTGTCTACTGAGTTTGTGTAGTAAGTGAGTCTAGTACGTGTTTGAACTTGTACGGGGCTATCTTCTTGCCAAAACTGAGAAAACTTATTTAGAAAATTCACCTTATCTCTGTGCCAGTTTCTCTAGAAGCCCAAGCTTTCTCATAACATTCACCTCGCTGTTTCTTATGCAAAAGAACAAAGCTAAAGTTATTGCTATGTGATAAATTATGATGGTAATGTGTCTAAACTGTTTGAAGCCATTATTGACTAGCTCATGTGCCTGTTAATTACCTTGAGAGTTTGACATTACCTGGTGCTTTGTGATAACCTTACCTAGATACAGGGGTATAGATAAACTTATCACAGAAGTGCCTTTTAATTTTGTCCTTCTTTGTGATCTTTTAAAAGTGGACAGGAGCTTTCATTAAAGACCAGAGAACTTTAAAACAATTTCACTCCTTTAGTTTATGACACCTTTCATCCAATCATATCAAAATATTTATACAGAATTCAGGAATCCTATCCTGCAGATGACACTTGGATGAAATTAGAAGGTGGCACTGTAGTAAGTACAGATGGTCTAGAAACTTACGACTTAGCACTGGATGGCTGTGCAGGTTTCTAAATAAGGGTGATCACCACTTATGCATTTCTTCTTCGTTTTCTTTAGTTACACCCTGGGAGCTAAGTTGCTCTCCTCTCTCTCTCCCCGTGAACCCCAAAATAGTTTTATTAATAGGAATATATGATGTTTATGTTCTTGAAAAAATCAGGGTGGTCTGATTCTGGCATTTCCCTTCGTCCAACCCTGTTGAATTTTCTGTTTAAAAACTGGCATTCCGAGAGCTTTTCTCTGGCTGGGTGCCTGGATCGCATGTTACAGCAGCAAATGAGGAATGCCAAGACGTCCCCCAAAGACAAATGTTTGTTATGGCAGTGGAGCTGATGTGACACTCAGAGTGAGAGCTCCTTAGCTTGTCTGAATGACAGTTAATGGTCTTTTTCATTTTCTTTTTTGTTATTATTTTAGAGGGGGGAAAAGAATGAAAGAAATGCCCAGAGGCTGAGATTGTGTTTGGTTCACCGGCTGTTAAATGTCAAATGCACTTGACTGATAATGCGTCTTTTGTCTCTTTTAGGAGCTAATTTTGTTACTCGAAAAATTAGCCGGTCAGTAGCTAAGATTTACCTTGGACAACTGGAATGCTTCAGCTTGGGGAATCTGGACGCCAAACGAGACTGGGGCCACGCCAAGGACTACGTGGAGGTAGGGACCCTCGCGTTTTGGTCTTGAAGTGCCTGTATCCGCTGGCATCGGGACGCCAGGCCTCGGGGAGAGCTCTCCTGGAGGTGGCGGCAGGTACCCTGGTGCTAATGCAGATGTGTTGAAGCTCTCACTGTGCCCCCTCCAGGCTGGATGGTCAGCGGTGTGTGCAGGCCGTCCCGCACCCCTCTGGAAGGGGGAACCTCTCACGACCCTTCTTTTAATCATTCAAAATGAAGGTGCCGGTCAGTGGTCTGGATGGTGGATAAAAAGTAAATGGTGTTCCTTCCTTTCTAAAGTGGCTTCCTTGTGCCACTCGCTCATCCCTGCCCAAGACACGCGTAACTAACTGTGAGAGCATCTTGTTGTAACAGTACTAGTCCTCACATCTGCAAGAAATACTGCCTGATTTCACTTTGTATAATCTAAGACCTTCAGATTTACATTATTCTACTAATCACCCCCAGAGTGCTGTTCTTACAGAGCGATTGGTTCAGGCTCTGGTTATTACCCCGTGTGCTTGGTAGCCTGTGACTCACACCCGTGATTGTGTCCATTAAACAAAGAGCAAAGAGAGAGATGCTAGTAATAACGCTATTGCAGAACAACGGGTGTAGTTAAAGGGAAATTCAAACTTTCAGTCTTGGGATTTATGTGCGATTCAGTTTTGGTTTGGGTTACATGTGTTACATATATAAGCGGTATGATTTTTCTTTAAAAAAATTATTACCTCTTACCTTGCCGGCATTAGTATGCTTTTAGATATCCGTGGTGATTCTGTGGCCAGACGTGAAGGAGCTTGTTGGTGACATTGTGTTTGTCCCGGAGTCTGCTGGTCCTTGTTTAGGTGCTTACAGATTTCCTGTACTCGGGAGACTATTTCTGTCCTCAGTGATGCCTCTCTGGGAAACCGGATCTGGTTTCCTAAGCAAACAAGCAGTTCACTTGCTAACCCAGAGGTCAGCTTCAGAGCGTTATTATTTTTGTGTGTAACAATTAAAAGTGTTGCATACTTAAACGCCTAATTCTGATTTATATTGCAGACAAAAAAAATATCTGATTTAAAATTTTGAACAACGTAACATTTAGATCATTTAAATGTGTTCTTCTAAACTGTAAATACAATGAAGCATTTTATGATAGTCGCCCTTGGATATATTTTAAGAACATTCGTTAAAAATATGTAAGACCATACTTTCAGAAGTAATAAGAAAGTGGGAGAAAGGAGGTGTTAACAAGAGAAGCTGAAACTTCCTTTTGTCTGGCCTATATGGTCTTGCCTTCTTAAAAATATGAGGCAAGTTTTGTAAAAATAAGTGCATTATTTTCTCAAGAATAGCATTTTGGCGTGTAACCTTTGAGCTTCTGCATTTACTTAGAGCCGCACAGAAGGCTCTGTGCGTATCCTTCGTCATCCAAAGTCTTGTTCTTCAGTTTCGGGAACCAAATAGATGAAATTTCATTCTATTTTATTTTATATTTTTGCACTGGGGTACAAAAGAAGTTTGTTATTGGAACTCAGAAATAGATTTTGATAGTGTGAGAAACAGTATATCAAAATGTTAGTAATACTTATTTTTGGTTATGTTTATTTTCTTCTGTATACTTCGGTATTTTCCATATATTGAAATGAGTATGTATAAACTTTTTCAATCAGGGAAAAAGATACATGACATTTTGAAAACAGGCCAGAAAAATTCAACAAAAAGGCATGAGACTGTTACATAAACACATAAGTAACAAGAACACTTTTCGTGAGCTCAGTGGGTCTGCAGGAAGGACCGTGCTGTCATCTCATCCCCAAATGCCGAGGGTGGCACTGCTCCTGGGTGTCGCGCAACCCTGGCACAAAGGGCCCACATTTGTATTTGTTTAACAGGAAAGTATTTCAGAAACACTGTGGCTCAAAGACTTCAAAAAGGTCTTCTCAAATGATGTCATTTTGAAGATTCCTTGCCGAGATGTGTCAGTACAGCAGCCGCACGAGCCAAGATCTCCGGGAGAGTAAGACGTGAGGGTTAAGAGGTTCTGGCTTTTCAGCAAGTGTCACATTTTCAGATTTCACAAACACACATACAAAGTTAAGTCATTCTCGCTGGCGTTCAACACCTGATTTGTTCCATAATACAGGTGGGTTTTGCGTATTAAGGATTCCCTTGGCTCCGACAGTAACACATGTTGATGCTCTAAAAAGCATTTGCTCACTTACGGGTTCTGAAAGAAGTCGACATTTCATGATTTCTAAAAAAGTGTCATCATTAAATAAGAATCCATAGTTCGCTATCTCCATTTTAAGAAATATTACCATCCTTTGCATTTCTAAATATATTAAAATGAGGTTACTTCACAGACTTATGAGTAAAGGTAGGTGTGGCCAAAATTAAAATCAACAAGGCTAAGAATGAAAAATGAGAAGCATTGTTTGTTTAAAACACATCTGCATCCTGGCGCTATAATCAGCTTTAGAGTAAAGAAGCCTTGGCCAGCACAGATCAAACAAGTCATAATAGCATCTCATTTACATACGCTTTAATTATATAATCCTTCTCATTTATATGTAAACATGTTGTATTCGTATATCTTTAGATTAAGTGACTAATACGTTCTTATTTATGGATGAATTTTAATGATGAAGAGTAGAGAGCATTTGCCAGACTGGGTGTAGGTGAACCCAGCTGGGTCAGTGAGCCTAAGTCTTAACAAGGTTTCTTTATTTTTTTGCGGTACGCGGGCCTCTCACTGTTGTGGCCTCTCCCGTCGCGGTCCGGACGCGCAGGCTCAGCGGCCATGGCTCACGGGCCCAGCCGCTCCACGGCATGTGGGATCTTCCCAGACCGGGGCCCGAACCCGTGTCCCCTGCATCGGCAGGCAGACTCTCAACCACTGCGCCACCAGGGAAGCCCTTAGCAAGGTTTTATACATCAATTTATCCATCTGTGAAAAGGACATAATAGCCATCCTGTTAGAAATCAGCATTAATGTGCTATACATCCCTGATGAGAATCTATCTCTTCCTTGTAAACATTTTTCCAACAACTTATACAAAGCCATTTCCTGTTGCTGATTCAGATTCACTAACTTCTGTTCTTAGTCTTGTTTCCTAGATCAAAATGATTTAAAAATTATTTGAGTGGATAAGAGGTATTTCAACTTGAAATGAAGAATATAAAAACTATATGAAATTACATGGCACTTTAGAATAAACAAGTCATGTGCAGTTACATCTTTTATATTATTTTATTAGAAACATTATCAAAGATGCAGAATTGTTGCATTAATTTTACAGTGAGCAGCCGTATACCCACCACCCAGGTGCTGTAATTAACATCTGCAGTTACTGTTGTGTTTTGAGAAAAAAATGACTCTTTAAAAATTGCTGTAGCGCTAATGGCTCGGGGCTATAAATACACAATTTACACAAACACAGGTTTTCAAAAATATGCATTTCTTATGAGATAAGGTCAGTTGACAGTCCAAACTTTTAAAATATCTTCATCTTCTTAAATATTTCTGTGCCCTGACCGCAACCTGTTCTCACGCCTGACTCCCGTCGTGAACTCGTCATGAACTCGGAGCATCAGCTCGTATTCATGAGAGCACGCGGCGCTGTGTGCCACGTCGGGTGAGCTCAGGCAGCCAGCAGTGCACCAGCATTGTGCCAGCAGTGCAGCAGCAGTGCAGCAGCAGTGCAGCAGCAAGCAGTGCACCAGCAGTGCCTGGAACGTTGTTCCTTCAGCACCTCTGTGGACTGTCTATCTCCCATGGCCATGGTTCTAGCTGCTACAAATGACCCTGCCCAAAGCCAAACCCTCCTGACAAGACAATGCTATACTGCATAAAGGTCAGCAGATTTCTTTACTATAAGACCACCTTCTCAGAACTTAGCATATGTGAGCCTGCACTAGGCCTGCTGGGAGTAGTAGAGGGTTTTCCAAACACATCTTACCTTGCCCCCCTTCTAGTGAAAAGTGGGCATTAACGTCTAGCAGTGCGGAGTTGGGAAATGGTGCCCTGAGCTTAAATAAAATGAACAGTAGCCGTTTGGCTAAAGAGGTCCCACTGTGGTTGCACCTTGATAGAATTAGCCAGAAAAGATTGAGAGATAAGTTATTGTTAAGGGCTAGGCCACAAGAGTCCTTAAGCTTTTCCACCTACGGGATGGTCCTTTGCTCTTGGGATACACAGGTAATCAAGAGACCCGAGTCTGAGCTCTTTCCAGGACTCTGCAAAAAGCCATTTAAACATGCCATGAGGTTCTACTGCCCACAGCCGACAGGACAGATGCTCCTGAAGAGAAACCTGGCCTAGAGGCAATCCGGGGACTTTCACATTATTAGGGGAGAAGTTTTGAGATTCATCTGAATTTTAATATATTCCTTTAATTGTTTTCTTTTTGGTCAGGGAGCCCAAATTAGTAATAAAAAGCTACTTTCAGAAATAAAAATAAGAATAATTGCCAAATGTTAGGCACGTATTACAGAAACTTCATATCCATCGTCTTCTATAATGTGCACAAGCCTCCAGACAGGGTGAGTCCGTCCTCCTCTTACAGACGAGGGAGCTGAGGGGACATGATTGCTCAAAGCCGAGGTGACCACGGAGGTGAAGGCCGCCTGGTCCCCGGCCCGGGCCTGATGCCCGAGCCATGCCCCTGACTTAGGCTGAAGTGAGGGCAACAGTGGGATCCGGGTGACTTTCCGTTTCCCAGAGAGACAGAAAGTTACGTTCTGTCCTTTTCTCTTTCTGCCACTTGTGGTCCCAGGGCAGGAGGAGTATCTGGCAGTTCAGAGCCACTGAGCTGGCTGTCGGTTCTCCCTGAACCCCTCCCACTGGCTGGATGCATGCGGCCCAGATGCACAGGGTGTGTTTGGGGAAATGAGCTGGGAACTGCCCACCCTCCCTGTTCCTTGGCCCCCAAGTGAGTTGACCTTCAGGACAGCTTTGGTCTCAGCAGGTGACAGAGACCTGGGGGGAGCAGGGAGCCTCTGGCGGGGACGGGAGCC